TTTAAGACCTGATTTAATAAAAACAAGTGTAAATGGTGATACATCTACACTTTTAATTTCATTATGAACTAAACTAGGATCATTATATGGAATAACAAGACCCATTATAAAAATTGATCCAACAAAAAATAAAATAATACGCCAAATAGTTCCATGCATTGCACGTGGAACATCACGACGAGGATTTGCACTTTCACCTGCTGTTACACCAATAGTTTCTGTACCCTAGAAAATTTATCAAATGAAAAAAAAAAAAAAGAATTATATAATTAAAATTAAAATTAAAATAAACTTACTCCAAATGCAAAACTCGAAGCAATTGAACTAGTAACAATTCCACTTATACCTTTATAAAAAGGTGCACCATCAATTTTCCAATTATGAAATCCAATTTTAACATGTCCAAGTACACCTATATCAACTAATAAACCAACTATTATAAATATTATAACAGTAAAAACTTTAATCATTGCAAATCAATATTCAGCTTCTCCATAACTTTTTACTGTAAATGCATTTAATATAAACATTATTATCATTCCTAATAGAGACCAAATAATCGTTGGAAAATGTGGTAACCAAAATTGTACAATAATTCCAGCAGCTATTAATTTACTAGCAATTACTGTTACACCAGCTAAATAATAATTATAACCTAATGCAAAACCAAATGCTTCATCAACAAAACGACTTCCATATGTACTAAATGAACCACTTATTGGATATTGTGTTGAAAGTTCAGCTATTTTAATATTGAAATTTTTATTTTTTAAATTGATCAAATATAATCAATATATTTAAGAAATTTTAGGAAAACATGTCTTGTCAATAATTGTCTATTTAGAATTGAATAGTACGAAATAAATTGTAGAACTCTTGCTCTATTGTTCTATATGAAAAACTTTGTTCTAACAATTTCCCTATTGATAGAAGTATGTATATTTTCTGAAATCTCGACGTTGTGACTGAGTGGTTAAAATATTTATCAGATATCCACAAGATACTGTGTTTCGATCTCGACATCATCAGACATAGAATAACCTTAGACAAATCACTAACAGCTATTTGTCTCGAGATACCCGTTCAATAATAAATTGATACGTGATTAATTTATAAAAAAAGGCTCTTGTGGCTAATATGCGGTCAATCAGTATGTATGGGAAAACTCAAGTGATTAAGCCGAATAGCTCTGCGTCAGATCGGTCTTCTGTCAAAGGTTACAGCTAGTAATAGTTGTAAGAAAAATATCGGACTATCGAAACCGTCTCTAGACAGAGTATTCTTCTTCTTCTAAAAGCTGATGTTCAGTGTAGTCGGTGCACACATTCGAACACAGTTTCAAATTTGATAACATTTTCATGGAAACCTAGTCTTCTGTCTGACACGCCTACTCAGTTAGTATAAAGATGTATAAATACTTTTGCACTTGTCTTCCAGTAAAGTTTTGCTGTCATTTAAATAAGTTTATGTCAATATGTTGTTATACAGAGCATTAAATTGTAATTTTAGTTGATTGATTTTGATATTCTCTGATCAATTCTAAACAGACAATTATTGAGGAGACATGTTCTGCTAAGACTTTGTACACGTTGGTTTTATTATAAATCGTTTTTTTTTTTAAATATAAAATTAGTTTATCTTAAATTTAAAGACATATATTCTTCTAATTATTGAAACGATGATTTAATTCATATGATGATTAAGATCTTTCTCATTGAAATTTTAACTATTTTCTGACAATGTCAAATAAAATAAATCAAATATTGATAAAAATACTTTTAGTCTTAAAAAAATAGATATCAATAATAGAGTCAAGATTTTCATTCTTAAATATTAATTTATATGAAAAAAAAAAACAACTTCATATTCCGAATAAACATAAGATAATAAACAACAAATTTGGCGTTTTATTATTAAATATTATCTATGAAAAGCTTTCTTTCTTTGACTTTTTTTTAACTTCTGAAAAAGAAAAGATTTCAAAATAAAAATTTTCAAATAAAACATTTGTTTTTCATATATTGGATGAAAATGATTTTGTTCTTTCAATGTTCATTTGTTTATTGAAATTAAAATAGTTCGACATATTCTAATATTGACTTTATTTAATCTATTACTCAGTTTATTTCATTAATTAACATATTGTAAGAATCTTTTTTATGAATTAGAAAATCAAATTTAAAAAAACAAAATTCTAAATAAAAATATATATTTAAAGTTTAAACAAACCTAAAGTTGTCATAACAAAATAAACCATAATTGAAACAATACTATAAGAAATAAGAGAACCACCAGGTCCTGATGATGCTAATACTTGTCCAGATGCTAAAAATAATCCAGTACCAATTGTTCCACCTAATGCAATCATAATCATATGTCGTTCTTTTAAATTTCGATGAAGATTAGTTTTATTTGGTGATAATAAAATTTTATTATCATCAACATTTATTTCAGTATTATTTAATACATGATTATCTATACTTGTGTGTGATATAACATCGATCTAATTTATAAATTTAAAAAGAAAGAAAAAAAAAAAGAATTTTTTTAAAATAAAATCTTACTTGAAAAACATTCGACCTTGTTTTCTCATCTTGACTATCAAAAGATGTTGATCGTCCTCTTGACATTTATTTCAAATTGTTTCGAATCTAAAAAATAATGGTTTTGTTTTTCAATTCAGTAATATTTCCCTATTTTAATCTAGGGATGTGACGGGGAAGACGCTGGACTTTCTTTTTTTTTCACTTCACGATCTTTTTCTTTATAATAAAAAAATACGATTTTGACTGAAAAAGAACTGAAAATTTTCTAAAAGTAACGGATGCGTATTCTTCTCTTTATAGTGACATCTCTGCTTTAATCATCTATATTATTTAGTTATCAACCTTTGAAATGAAATATAATGCTTAGTCAACAATGAGACGACAAAACAAAAATAACAATATATAGTCATGCACTTTATTCTTTTTTCATATTTTCAGAACAGACAATAAAACAAAGATAAAGTGTCACATCAAAGATTTGTTATCATTTAATAGTAAAGATGTGCTTTTAATCTCACATTGAATAATCATTAGCTCACCAAATGATGTTCTATGTCACTAAAACCGGATCAATTTTACTAGTAAGCTGTGCTTGCAGGAAGCCGTCAGTTAAGCGTTCAAAACGATTGCTAAGCCGCACTCAGTGAACAGAAAAAAAAATCCTATGTTAGTTGCTAGAGTGTGGATGTCGTTGAAACAGATACCCACATCCACGTGCCATGGCTCCAGGCCGTTAGATCTCAAGTACAGCTTAATCAACTCTATATGTTGAATGCCAAGACATCCAACACGAGGGATTTGCCTTTTCAGCTTTGTTATCACTTGATATAACTGATTTGCCTTCTTGGCTCTGGTGTCACTTGACACGACTAGTTTGCACTTAGTATGCTAAGTTCACCTCTATCCGGGATAAACTATTTAGGATAAGCTATATACTATTTATAATGGCAAAATTGATGGGCAGGTATTGAAAAGTTTAACTTAAATAAATGTTCAAATTTTAACAAATTAAACAGGATTATAGAATAACTTTTCACTGAATGAGAGCACGAGAGGATGATAATGAACTTCCAACAGAAATGAACACTCATTGAAATAATAGAAAAAATA